GAGAGAGAGAGAGAGAGAGAGAGAGAGAGAGACAGAGACAGAGACAGAGAGACAGAGACAGAGAGAGACAGAGACAGAGACAGAGAGGAGGGGGACAGGATTCAAAGTTCAGTGTCTTTATCTACTTTTTTTTACGGTCTCTTTCGTAGCCTAGAGCTCACTGGTTGGTGAGACTAGCTGGCCACTGAGTCCCTGAGATCTGCCCGTCTCTGCCTCCAAGCACTGTGACTACAAGCACATGCTTCCATACCCAGCTTTTTATGTGGGTGCCAGGGACCCAAACTCAGGTACTTATGCTTGAATAGCAGACACTTCCTTTAATCTTTGAGCCATCTCCCTAGCCCTGTATGAGTCTGTAATCTGAAAGCCTTTTCCTACAATTCTGTGAAATTTATATGTCTATTCTTTCTTCAAATATCTCTTCCTTTCCATCCTTCATTACAGGGATTCTGATTCATTCCGATCATCTCTGTCTTTTCTACAGCTTCTCCACCCAGCCCCCACCCTTCTGCAGAACTCAGTGTCCAGCCATTCCGAGAAGGATCCTGGGGTCTCTGGTTCCTGGGCTCCATGAGCTCTCTGGGCATCCTCTCCCAGAACCCTCCCTCTGAAGACACCTGACTCACCTGTGCTCAGAGCCATTGATGAAAAAGCCGGTGGTTTCCTCTGGAGAAGTGGTCAGAACTAAGAAGGATGCAAAGATGGCGGTCACTCAGGTGACCAGGACGGAGACCAAGACTGGGTCCCAAGAACCATGAGAGGAGGTGGGGAAGGGTTTTAGATGAAACCACACCTCACAGCCCCTCAGGCCAGGGCTACAATTTTTAGCTTATACTTATTTTTTGTTTACAGATATAAGGGCATCAACCCTAAAGGCTGGCCTCCCCTAACCCCAGACCCCCCCCATCACCTGGGTACCCCCCTTCCCCCGGCACACCCACCTGTGCTTGTTGGGAGCCAGGTGGTCGTCTCTAGAGTAAGAGGGGAAAAGAGAAGATAACCATGCATGAAAGGGAGAATGGGGTCTGGGCCGAAACTGTGAAAGATGCAGGAGGCTCAGAGGTAGCTGGGCCTAAATTCTTTAACTTACAACGTTTACATATTTATGGGCTGTTGAGACTGCCTGAAGACCTGAGTTCAAATCCTAGAACCCACAGTGGAAGGAGAGAGTCAACATAAAAGTTGTCCCCCAGCCTCCACGTGTGCACCATGGCCCATGCATTCATACAACAACAACAATAATAATACAATAACTTATAAAGAGGTTTTTACACATTATCCTATGCCATTTGCTGTTTCAGTACTTGTATATATTATGTGACATTCAAACCAAAGTCAACCTGTGTACTCAACATTTAACATTTATCCATGGTAAAACATTAAAAAATCCTTTTTATAGCCTTTTAAAAGTGATTAGGGGCCAGAGAGATGGCTCATAGGTTAAGAGCACTGGCTATTCTTGCAGAGGACCCAGGTTTGATTCCCAGCACTCACATGGTAGCTCACAACCAACCATAACGCTAGTTCTAGGGGATCTAACACTCTCTTCTGACCTCCAGGGCACCAGGCATGTACATGTTGCACAAATATACATGCAGGCAAAACATGCATGCATAGAAAATAAAATAAGTAAATATCCTAAATTTTTAATAATAAAAATAAATCGTACATTACTGTGGTCTAAGGTCTCTCTACAGTGCAGCACAGCTTCGGAATTTCTTTCCCCTTCAAAGTACTTAATGCTCTTTAGCCCAGCACCCTATCACTCACTCCTCACTTTTCTCTCAGCCTCTGGTACCCAACAATCAGTTTGCAATGTCTATTAAATCAGCATTTTGTTGTTGTTGTTGTTGTTGTTGTTGTTGTTGTTGTTGTTGTTTGGTAGTTTTTGAGACAGGGTCTCACTATTTAGCTCTGGCCTGCCCAGAACTCCCTGTATAGAAGAAGCCTATCTCAAACCCACCAAGATCCACCTGCCTCTGCCTCGTGAGTGCAGGGATTAAAGGAGTGTGCCACCGTGCCCAGCTAAATTTTCTTGTAAGTCAGAGTTCCATGCAGTCCAGGCTGACCTCACACTCACTGCATAGCTCAGGATGGTGAACTTGTGATCCACCTGCCTCCACCTCCCCAGGGCTGGGACCATCAGCTGGTAGGGCACAGAACTTCCCGGCTGTTTCCACAACTACTGTACTAATTTACATTCCCACTGGCCACTGGGTTCCCTTTCTCCAGGCTTCCCTGCACCTGTTACCTTTTGTCTTTGGAGGAAGCGTGATTCTTGTTAGAATGGGAAGATCTCTCACTGCGGTTTGCACATTTCCCTGGTCGTTAGTGATGTTGAGAATATCCCTGGCCATTTGGATGCCGTGGTTTTGTTTGGTTTTTAAACTGACTCAGATTGGCCCTGGGATCTTTATGCTTAGTTCAAATCTGGCCTCCCCGTGGGAAGTGGGCGGCGCTGGAGCAGAGAGCACACTTCGTCTCTCAATGTCCCATGTCCCGAGCGGAGCCTCCCCATTGCCCAGTCCCTAGGGGGTCCACCCAAGGGGAAGGCCCCCCTGAAGCTCAGGCTCCCCAGCTTGCCTGGCCATCCATCTTTCCTCCTCTAAAACCTACCCATCTTTGTTTGGAGCTGGATGCTGGTCGGTGGAGGAAGAGTGTGCAAGGCTGTAAGAGAAAAAGATGCTGACTGGGTGGGGTCCTGAGGAGAGAATCCAATCTGACCCCCAAACAGTGACAAGATATAGGGGAGCTCAGAGCAGCTCTTTGAGGGCCCCTTGGGCCAGTAGTTATCTGCACCTCAGGTCTGCACAGGCGTGCCTGCGTGAGAAAGAGTCTCAGACGGCTCAGACATTGAGAACTCAGACTGCTCCTGCAGAGGAACTGAGTTTGGTTCCCAGCACCCACACTGGGTGGTTCACAGCCACTTGTGACTCTAGCCCCAAGGGGATCCTATGCTCTGGCCTCCATGGGCACTGGCACACACATGGCATGTGCCCGTGAGTGCACATAACTTAAAATAAAAACATCCTTTTTTTTTTTTTTTTGAGACAAGGTCTCACTATGTATCTCTGGCTGGCTGGGAACTCGCTCTGTAGACCAGGCTATGAAGAGATCCACCTGCCTCTGCCTCTCAAATGTTGGCATTAAAGTTGCACCATGCCTGGCTAAAATAAGTAAGAGTGGGAGAGACTCTAGGTCCCTGCCCATGAAACTCAGACATTGTTTCTCATTGCCAGAGCCAGGAATGACAGCGATAGGCAGTTGTCTCGGGGGACAGGGCATCTCGCTCTCCTCAGTCAGAGCAGGTGTCAGGATTGGGGCTGACAGAGACAAGGGATAAGTGATATATATTTTCACTTGGTCCCTAGGAGAGGGGACATAAAGGCCTTACCCTGAGACACCACCAGGCTGATGTTTCTGAGAACACTGATTACATTTCGGGAAGCATTAAATGACCCACACCAGTAGAATGCCGCGTCCTTCTCCGTGAGCCGAGTGATGGCGATGCTGAAGAAGCCAGCTTCAGGATCGTCCCAGATTGTGTGCTGTGACTCTTTGACGGCTTTCCGGGGCTCAGAGGTTGTGACCACTCTGTTACATTTATTTGGAGATGTCTGCCGACACCATGATTTCGGCACATAAGGCCCTGCTTCAGGCTTGTACTGGCACCGCACGGAGAGGTCCTGTCCTACCACTGCATGAAGTTCCTCAGACACAACTGTCGACCCCCAGACACCTGGACAACAAACCCTCCATCAGAGCCCAGCTGTATACATCTGTTTACAGGGTTGGGAAAGCTGAGAGGTGATGACTTCTAGCACCCAGACTCCTAGCATGGCCCGGAGGTCATCCCTGGTCATGGAAGCCATCCGTGGTCACAGGGTCAGTTTGATTCCTGCCTGAGCCTTGTCCCTACATCCCACTTGGCAACCCCCTGTGTCCCAAACCATCTCACCTGAGGCCAGGAGCAGCAGCAGCAGCACAGGAGCCGGTAGCAATTGTGAGCACCTCCAGGCCATACCCCCTTGATTCTGTCAGTGGAGGGGAGGAGGAGAAGGGGAGGCTTTGGATGGGTCAAGAGTCTCCCCGCGTCTCAGCATCTGTGAGCCCAAAGACTTAAGGAAGGAGCAGGGCTTTGATTGGGGAAGTAGTTGATCTGGGTAGGCGGGCTCTGGGGACCCATGAGAGGCACAGTTGAGGGCCTGGACTGGGGAGTCCCAGCTGCAGGGTCCACCTCTAGCCTTCATACCTCAGCCCTGGCCCAACTCCTTGTGTTCTTTTTCCTTAGTCTATTCCCATCTCGGCCACTCCACAACATCTGTCAATCACATTCCTTTATTGTTGCTACAAAAAAAATTAAAAAAAAATCCTATGTGAAGTAAGAGGCCCGTTCCTCTTTTCTTTCTCCGTGAGAAAGGTCAGAGGCCCCTAGAGGCATGTGAAGAGTCCTGGGTATACTCACCCCAAGATAAGTCAGGGGCCTCACTCCTGGACAACAGTGTGTTTTTATCCCGGATGGTTTGTGAGCCACCAGATTCCAATGCCAGGCTGTAAGGATGGTCCCTGGGAAGGGTGGGGCGGGAGGCTGGCAGGAGGTAAGAGAGTGTTGAGGAGGGTAATCAGAAGAGAAGTCAGGAGGGGCTGATCACTTAGGGTGAGAAAGGAAGTGGGGGAATTCATGACCATGTCAACTGGTGCTTGTTGAAGGGACACTTGAGTGAGTAAAAAAATGAAAAATCATCTCCTGCAAAAATCTCACGTGCAAAAATCCCATGTGCAAAAATGTGTGAAAGAAATGTGACCCATGCTGGAACAATCTGGCAATAAAATAAACTGACATTAGTTTTTATATTCAAAATATAAAATACCCACAAGTCCAGGTTAATGTGGGAAGACGGTGGGGGAGATAAACCCCTGGGTGAGACCAATGCCTCCCATGTGCAAGGATTCTGAAAGGACCATGCAGACACCATAACAAACTGCTCAGTCCTCTCTCAGAGATCAGGCCTCAATTTCAGTTTCCCAAGACTAGAGCAAGCAGTTTCTGGGAGGGCTATGACTTAGTCCTTGCAGTAGCTCCCTTTCTGCACATACTCAGACTGGTCAAGGTTCAGTCAGTTGTTTACTGTCTGGGACTCCTCACCAACTTAGAGCTACGTGCATGATGGGTCAATGTGAATGTGCAAGGCCAGCCAGCCTCCGTGGCAGCTCAAGGACAGAGCCTGGGCCACTGAGTCAGCTCCCACAGGCAGTACATGCTAGGCCAGCCAGCCTCCATGTCAGCTCAAGGACAAAGCCTGGGACTTGTCCAGACCTACCCCCAAAGTGATAACTGTAACCCCCAACCAGTAAATTCAAAGGTTACATACTCTCACCCAATCATATGATGCCAAGTCTTGTACCACCCTGCTTGTGGGTTTTCTCTTTAAAAAACCCTCACCCTGAGAGCTCAGAGCCATCCTCCTTCATCTGGCTAGCCAGTGTGTTGGACATGGACCAAGGCCGAGCTTGTAAAAAGTCCTGTGTGTTTTGCATCGGATATCGGCTCTGTGGTGGTCTTGCTTGGGGGTCTCGCGACATGGCCACAACAATTCCACTATGGGGGATTGAATGTCCATGTCCACCAAAGTCATGTAATGAAACTTAGCTCTGAAAGGTAGGGCCTTTGAGGAGTTGACAGGGTCACATGGGTTCCATGCTCGTGGATGAGATTGGTGTCCTTGTAAAATAGAGCAAGGGAGAGAGTCTACCCCAGAGTCCTGCTATGATTGGCAGATGATTTACACTTGCTCCTAAAGATGGGAGGATCAGAAGTTCAGTCCAGGGAGTGTGGAGCCTTTAGGAGGCAGGCATGGGGGTCCTTAGGACAACTGGAGCATGCCCTGGGCAGTAATGATGGGATCCCAGTGTCCCCCCACCTGTCCCTCCCTCTCTCCCTCCCTCCCTCCCTTCCTCCCCCCTCCTTGCCCCTCTCCCTCCCTCTCTCTGGCTCTTGTTGGGTGACATAATCATAATAGACTCCTAACATTCGATACTATCCAATTTGAGGGCTTTACCTCTTGTAAAAGTAAAGGTCTCATGCATTTGTTAAATAAACCTCTTTTCTTTATAAAGTAACTGCCTCAGGTATCTTATTACAGTAACAAAAATCTAACACAGTGCCATCTTCTAAGCCTCAAGAAATTTGTTTATAAAGTAACCAGTCTGTGTATTTTGTTACAGTAATTTCAGAGTGCTGGGATATATCTGAAATATTTACATACATACTCTTTACTGAAGGAGAAGGAACATAATGCCTGCTGCCTATGTGTGGGCTGCCCATCAATGGGGTAAACCACTCATTAAGTCACGGGATTTGTGATCGAACAGTCTCAAGCAATTACACA